GCCCCCCCACCCCATATAAAAAACCCCCCCCAAAAAAAAAAAAAAAAGATTTTCACTGTCAATGTAAAAGTAAGCTATACTGAAAACTGTTCACAACAGTGTTATTTCTATACTTATAAAAATATTAAGAGTTCTAAGATTCTGAAGTTTAAAATATTTATCAATAAGATTCTGAAGTTTAAAATATTTATCAAAACAGAAATGACATTGTACCTTATTCACACTATAAACTACTTTTAAAAATGGTTACTACAGCGACCAGCAGATGGTGTAATGGTTACATTGCTGGACTACCAGGTAGTCAACCATGGCTCGTGTCCTGAACCTGGTGACTTAAAACTCATGCCAGGCATATGTGCACACCTGCTGGAGATCCCAAGAGGAGAACGGAAGAGAAGGGATTGTGGCACAGACATCCCCACTTGGGGATGATTTCTTGCTTTCTGTCTGTCTCTCTGCCTCTCTCATGAGCACTTGTGCTCTACAGCAAAAATCTCTTTTAAAAGATCAAAGGAAACATGGGAACCAGCAGTTAGCGTAATGGCTATGTCGCTGGACTCCCACGTAGTCGACCGCGGTTTGCGTCCCGGACCCGGTGGCTTAAAACTCACGCCGGGCGCGTGTGCATGCGTGCCCAAGATCCCGAGAGGAGAATGGAGGAGAAGGGATTACGGCATGACCATCCTCCCTGGGGGGTGATTTCTCGCTTTCTATCTCTATGTCTCCCTCTGTCTGTCTGGCGAGCACATGCGCCCTATAGCGAAAACCTCTCCAAAAAAAAAAAAAAAATGATCAAAGGAAACAAAACAAAATGATGCTTACTGTAATTGTATTCAACTGCATTTTCGTCTAAACACATATCAATAAAAGCTGTTTTATTTCATAAGCTTAAGTGTCACACAGTTTTTATAAAGACAGAAACTAAATAAATGAGGGATTTTTAAGAAACAAAACTTTTTCAAAGGAAAAATGTAATTCCAGATACCTGTTTGAATCTTGACTCTGTGTAGTTTGGATGTGAACTGATCGTTAACTGTAAATATGTGACCATTTTCTATTTCCTTTGACTTGGGTTCTTTTGTAAGAACCCGCTGTGTTGGTTTGCCACAGGCGAGAGATTGTAGGGCTCTAACAAGTTCTCGTTCAGGGATATCTGTCTCTTGTTGAATTTCCTGAAATTTCATCAGACAGACATAGTTAGAATTTTTGAAATATTAAAGTAGATTAGTTAACTAGCAAATAAACTGAACAACAGTAAAGAAGGGTAATTCCAGCACATCAATAATTTACAACAAGTAATTCCCTTAGTATCATGACACATCATTAAGATCTCATTATTAGAATAAACTAGAAGAAAGAATGATTCAAATTACAAAATATTAAAAAGACATGTATTTTCTGTTTCAGGAGAAACAATGCATATTCTCAATAAAGTCAATCAACAGACATTATTAAGAGACTTCTTAAACGATTTAAGTAAAAATAAAACATTAACCAATACATAACTGCTAATTTAAAAAATATTTTACAACTCTCTTGCCAAGTTTATACATACTAGTTTCTTGCTTAGTCACTTTTTTCTCACATAAACAAGCAAAGTAAGGGTCCGGTGACAGTGACGCAAATGGAAAGCCACCACTGAGGCCACATGGGCAGCCAGAGTTCAGTTCTAGGGTTGAACCTAAGCAGGTCAGGTGACAGTGCATTTGTAGCCCTAACTAACTAGAGGCATGAATAAGAGGATCACAATGTGGTGAGACTGTCAAAAATAGCCCCTACCTCTTCTACCCTGCATTCTTGTTTTTAACTCTGTTTCTCTAACATTAAAGAAAAAAAAAGAAAAAAAAAAAAACAAAGTTAAGACTGAGCTCAGATTTTCTATTGGCATCAACATTTATAATTCCAACTGACTATATTTACTGCTTATATGAATAAATGAAAAAATAAGTGCAAATATCTGGAAATTAACATTAAACATAGGGACTAGAAGTTAGAGTAATGGCTATGTCGCTGGACTCCCATGTAGTCGACCACAGTTCAAGTCCTGGGTCCCGTGGCTTAAACTCAAGCAGGCACATATGCGTGCGTGCCCAAGATCCCAAGAGGAGAATGGAGGACAAGGGATTGCAGCGTGGCCATCCCCCTGGGGGGTGATCTCTCGTTTTCTGTCTCTCTTTCTGGAGAATCCACATGCCCTACAGCAAAAACCTCTCAAAAAGAAAACAGAACAAAAAAAAAACCCCAAAAAACATTAAACACAAAAATTAAATTTAAAAAGATCAGGTGATAATTTCTGCTGCACACTATGATATGAATAAAATATTGGGGGAGGGAGGGGAAGCAAATGGGGAAAAATAAAATTTACATTACTTGAGTAACTGATCTGCAATGCCATTCTCCCTATTACTAAGTCTTTGAGCAAGTTTTGGTTTTTCAAAATGACTGTCAGAAATGTGAATGAACTGCAGTGATTTTACACATTCCTTTGGTTCAAATAATCTCTGGTTGTATGTATTCATTTCTTCATATTTTCCATGTTAGCATGAAAAGATCAAAGTTACAGGACCCACTTCCTCAAAGTTATAAACATTTCATATGTGACAGACAAGTTGCCTTTCAAGTTGCTTAACAATTTAACCCCACAACTACACAAGCATCCATTCCCTCACACCATCTTCAACACTAGATTTTCTTTCTTTTGCCTCCATATTGGACTAAAAATGCTGCTCATTATTTTAATCTGTACTTCCCATGATCACTAGGGGGAAAACAATCCCACTTTTTTATATTTTATAGATAAAAATTACCTGCAACTCTATGTTTTTCCATTCATATTCCTTGCATGTTTCTCTACTCAAATTGTTTTCATATTGATTTATTTGGTACTTTTTATGTACTATGGTTTTCAATTCTGTCACATATTGTAAATGATTTCTCCCAGTTTCTTCTCTACTGACATACGATATTTCATCATAAAAATATTTCCCTACTTTTTATGTGATTGAATCTGCCAGTATTGCTCTTCTTGTAAGTGGCCTGAAGTGATCTTTGAAAATGGTTCACTATTCACTTGACCCAGAGAACTTCGCAAACCATGCAAATCGCAAGGTTCAAATCTTAACATTCACTTTAAGAACACTCCTGAAACTGCCCAGGCCACCAAGGGTATGTATATTCAAAAAGCCACCAAGTATCTGAAGGATGTGACTCTGCAGAAGCAGTGTGTGCCCTTCCGTTGTTACAACGGTGGAGTTGGTAGATGTGCCTAAGCTAAACAGTGGGGCTAGACAAAAGTCGGTGGCCCCAAAGGGTGTTGAATTTTTGCTTTACGTGTTTAAAAATGAAGAGAATAATGCTGAACTTAAGGGGTTAGATGCAGATTCTCTGGTCACTGAGCTCACATGAACAAGGCACCCAAGATCGCTGTCATATGTACAGAACTCAGGGCCGATTAACCCATACATGAACCCCTCTGCCAGACTGAGATGATCCTCACTGAAAAGGAACAAAGTGTTCCTAAACCAGAAGAGAAAGTTGCACAGAAAAAAAGATAGCCCAGAAGAAATTGAAGAAACAAAAACTTATGGCACGGTAATAAAGTCAGCACAAAATAAATGTAGACAAAAGTTTCAAAAAAAAAAAATCTGTCAATGTTTTGCTTCGTGGTTTCTGTTAGATCTTTACTAAGAACGTTTCCTTTCTTATTAAAGCTATAAAATGCTTTATATTTTATTACCTTAATAGACTTGTGCATATATTTAATTTTTCACCTCTCTGAAATTTTGTGTTTAATGTGATGTACAGAACTCAGATCTTGATACTACTCTTCTCTCATCCTCACAAATAAAAAAATCAAATACAGTCATGAACTGCCTACCAGTATATTAGTCAGTGATGGACTGCATGTAAGATGGTGCTTCCTTATTACACCACATAGCCTAGGTGTGCAGTAGGTTGTATTATCTAGGTTTCTGTAAGTACACTCTATAATGTTCACACAGAACAAAACCATCTAATGACACATTTCTCAGACTGTATCCCCACCATTAAGCGACATGTGTATTAATTCAGTTTGATTAAATAACAATATTTAAATCTCAAACACAATTCTTTATCAATCTGCTTCTAGACTCTATTTTGTTCAAATAAGCTATTTGTCTATGCATTTAAAAAATAACTTTATAGTATGTTTTGGTATTAGAACAAATTCTTTTTTTCACTAGACTTCCCCACCCTTTAAACCTTCCTCTTTCAAAAAACAGTACTGTTGTACATTTTCTTGTCCAGATGAATTCTGAGACCAGCTTGTCAAGTTTCATTTTTTAAAAATCGTTGGGAGATTTTGATTGGGATTTCATTAAATTTCTATATGGTTTTAAAAAGATGACACCCCTTTAACAAGTAGTCTTCCCACTCAGGTATAATTTACCCTTTCATATTCTTTTGCTTTTACTATCTTCTTAATATGTCTTCTATATTTGTTAGAATGATTCCTAGGAGGGTTATATAATTCTTTATAAATATCCTTCTTGTCATATCATTTACTGATTAACAACTTATTTATAGAAAAGGTGATTTTTTAATAGAATTCTATTTTCAGAGAATTATTTCTCAATTGATTATCAAATATTATCAGGTAGACAATTATATTGTCTATGAATTTTTTTAGTCTATTAGTTAGGACCTGCAGAGCAAAGAGGAATAGCAGTAGAAATGGCAGGCATCCTTGTTCTGTTTCCAACTTCTGTAATTAACAGCAAGATGTCTGCTATTTTACTATTAATTATTGTTATGTTTAAGTCTCTCAATAGATACAACCTTACAGTGTTAAGGGAATTTCATTCTATATTTAGTTTGTAAGATTCCCTCGCCCAGGAAATAATAAATGGGGGATGACTTTAATCAAATGCTTTTTGTACATCTGTAGAGATCATCCATTGGTTTTCTTCTTAAAATGGTTATCTGACAATTCAACAAGTGCTTAATTTTACTATTATGTTAATAATCATTTAGCAAATTTCTGTATGTTGACCCAGTGCTCTCTGTATTCCAGAAATAACTATTTGAACACAAGTTATTATTTGTTAAATACGCTGCTGAATATGACTTGCTAATATTTTATTTATGGTTTACGCAATTGTTCTGGATAACTTATAGAATCCTTTCCTTTTTTTTGTATACTCCCTGTTCAGTTTTAGTAATGTAGTTATACCAGCTCCCAATGTTTCTCAACAGCAATTGTTCATTTTGCTTTCTGTGTTCAAAGTTCTCAGTAGAGTCTTCAACTTCATCTTGCTAACTGTGCTATTCAAATCTTCTATGTTCCTCTTCATAACTATCTGGATAGTGAATGCATTTGTAAGGGATTTCTATGACTGTGGAATTACCTATTTCTCCTACTTTCAAATATTCTGTTTCCCCTTACATCTTATAAAGCCATGCTACTTATGACTATTGTAAAGTTTTTGGTCAGGGTTAGGGTTAGGGTTTTGTTTCAAAATTTTCTATTTAAATTCTATCTCACATTATATTGTTATTTTTCACAATTGGCTTTTTTCTTTATTATTATTATTATTTGTTCTCACAAAAATTTTAAAAGTATACTAAAGATTAAGAAAAATAAGTATTTTTATTATCCACACAGCTTTTGAAAACCAAAAGCCAATTAATAATACAATAGAAAGTATAGACTATCAAGACTGTATGTATTACCTACTCTTAGCTGTTTGAAATCACAATAAACTTTTATTCATTTTACATATATATATATATACATATATATATATATATATGCACACACACACACACACATACACACACATATATATAGCAGTCTGACTACTATGGATTAAATATGACGCTGCAGATTAATGCCACCTGTTACACTCTAAGACAGACTGTAATGGTCCTTGCATATTTTAATCTGTTGTATTCTCTATCAGGGTTGACCAAGAAAAGGAGGAAGCAAAAATATGTGACTTCCAAGGCAAGGTCATTAAGACACTACAGGTTTTTCGGAGGTCTCTCTGGAGCAAGCTAACCACCAGGATGCGAGGACAACTGAACAGTCCTAAGAAAAGGCCCAAGTGGAGAGAAACTAAGGCTTCTTACCAACATCCAAAATGAAGCTGCTAGCCATGTGATCAACCTTACAAAGTATATCCTCCAACTCCAGTCACACCACCCGAAGACTGAAGCCACAGAAAACACCCAAAGGCAACCTCTTGAAAGATGCCCAAGCCAGACTACCCAACCGAACCCTTTTTAAATCCCTAACCTACAGAAAAGACAAGTGATGATAAATTGTTAGTGGCTGTTTTAAATCAGTTAAGTTTTAAAATTTGTTATGTAGTAACAACTAAGATATCACATTAATTAGCTCAAGAAGAATATTCAAAGATAAAGATCAGCTTTCTTTTAAATAATGAAATACTTCTAACAATCTTCTCTCACTTGTGGCCATCTATTGAGTAAGTAATAAAACATCAGCAGCAGACTGCAGAGAAACAGGTGATGTGAGGAAGATAAACTTCACATGCCTTCTCACAAGGCCCTGGATTCCAGGTGAGCTGTCAGAAGCTTTGGAGCCATAGGCACGGGATTGTTACACACTACAATCAGGCCTCTCCTTTGTGACTTAAACATTTTAAACTTAAAGGGATTTTCTACTTAACTTTTTCTTTTAACTAACAACTGTGCTCATTAGCATTGATGATCTTAAGATAGTGATAAACTTGAACCAGTAACATTTCTAGCAATTCCAATAATAAGCTTGAGAAGACACAAATAGCTTATTTCAATATATCTCATGGATATCCATGAGAGCTGCAGATTAAGATTACCTATCAAAAAAACCCAGCCATCAATGAATAATTTTACCTCTGTTAGAAAAGCCTTATAAAAGTTTGAGTAAGGCACTCAATACTCATTCAATTAATATTCTTAAGACTCAATCACATATAACTTGTACTTCAAAATTAAGGTTACGAGGGAACCAGCAGTTAGCATAATGGCTATGTCGCTGGACTCCCATGTAGTTGACCGCGGTTCACATCCTGGACCCGATGGCTTAAAACTCACGCCAGGCGCGTGTGCGTGCGTGCCCAAGATCCCGAGAGGAGAATGGAGGAGAAGGGATTGTGGCGTGACCATCCCCCCTGGGGGGTGATTTCTCGCTTTCTGTCTCTATGTCTCTCTCTGTCTGGCGAGCGCGCGCGCCCTATAGTGAAAAACTCTCAAAAAAAAAAAAATTAAGGTTATGGGGCCCAGCAGATGGCGTGATGGTTAAGGCACTAGAGTCCCACGTGGTGAACCGCAGTTCGAGACCCAGAACCAGGGACCTGAAAAATCACGCTGGACACATGTGAATGTGTGCCCCAAATCCCAAGAGCAGACTAGACAAGTAAGTGACTGTAGCATGGCCACCCCTCTTGGGGAGGCATGGATTTCTCACGTTCCCTCTCTCTGACTTCTTTTTTCCAGGTAAAAGCACATGACTTACAGCAAAAATCTTAAAAAAAAAAAAATAAAAGGAAAAGAAAAAGAAAATTAAGATTGTTTCCTAGGTAAGACTCATCTGAAAATAATATATGAGAGGAAAAATTTCTTAAGCAGTGAATTAAAACACCTAGTTAGGTTTCAACACCTTTAAGTGTATCACATAAAACAAAAAGGTCAGTTCTTGGGAACCAGCAGTTAGCGTAATGGCTATGTCGCTGGACTCCCACGTAGTCGACCACGGTTTGTGTCCTGGACCCGGTGGCTTAAAACTCACACTGGGCGCGTGTGCGTGCGTGCCCAAGATCCCGAGAGGAGAATGGAGGAGAAGGGATTGCGGCGTGACCATCCCCCCTGGGGGGTGATTTCTCGCTTTCTGTCTCTATGTCTCTCTCTGTCTGTCTGGCGAGCGCACGCGCCCTACAGTGAAAATCTCTCCAAAAAAAAAAAAAAAAAAAAAAAAACCAAAAAAAAAAAAAAAAAAAAAAAAAAGGTCAGTTCTTCATTATGTTCATCATAGAAATAGGAGCGTGGAGTACTAATGTAGGCACGGAATTTAATCTTCTTACTCTTAATTCCAAACTTAACACTTCTTTTTCTCCCTATGTTCATGTGATCTTAAGAATGGCTTACAATTAAGTATAAATATGGCAGTAATTTTACAGCCTTTCAAAATATTCATCTATTATCTCAACTTTGAAAACTTAGTAAGACTCACATAATCTTTATTTCAAACTTAAGGAATGTTTTAAAGGTATGAGAGAAGAACAATTACATTTAGTTTACTTAAACCATCACTTAATGAGTAGAAAAAGGACCACAGACCTAAACGTAAAACCTAAAATTATAAGCCACTTAAAAATAAAACTTAGAAGAAAGTTTTTGCATTTTAGAGTGGACAATAGCTTCGTAGGACATCAAAAGCATAAATTATAACAGGGAAAAAAGTGATTAAGTGGACAGTCAATGTTGCCCTTCAAAAGACACCACCAAGAAAATGAAGAAGAAAGCGGCACTGAAGAAATATTCCCAGTACAAACATCTGACTGAGGACTCGTACCCCAAATTTATAAAGAACTTTTGCAACTTAATAATGCTTCACTAAACAAGATAACATAAATGACACACAAAACCAAAGATGCTCAACATCATTCTCATCAGGGAAAGGAAAATCAAATCCACAAGATATGATTGTACATCAACTAAAAATGGCTAAGGTGGTGAAGACCACAGAAGATGGGTAGCGAGTGGACTTCTCTTGCATTCACAGGGGGATGTATACGGATAGGCAGTTTGGTATTTTTTTAAAAGTTAAACATTGCTCTCTTATTTTTTTTTAACCTTTGAGAGAGAGATTTTTTGCCATAAGGTACTTGCACTCATTGGAGAGACAGAGACAGAAAGTTAGAAATCAGACTCCAAGGGGAATGGTCACATTACAATCCCTTCTCAATTCTCTCAGGATTTTGGGCACACATGTACACATGTCTGGCACGAGTTTCAAACCACCAGGTCCAGGACTCGAACCATAGTCAACCACGTGCCTTTACCTCTATGCTACCTGCTGCCTCCCATATTGCTCTATTATAATGGCCCAAATTTGATGACAACTTAAACACTCAACAGATGAACTGATGGAGAAAACACAACAAACTAATAAGATATCCCTCAATAGTAACTCAATAGTAAAAAGGAATGGACTACTAATATATATATCTGTAACGACACAGACATATCTCAAAAATACTATGTTATACAGAGGAAGCTGGACACAAACAATATGGATTATATGATTACATTTCTATGAAATTCTAGAAAAGGTAAAATGAACCTATAATGACATAAAGCTGATTACTGACTGCTGAGGAATGGGGATGCTGGAAGGAACTGACAACAAAGGGGTATAAGGAAGTTTTGGGGTAACATCCTATCTTTAGGTAATATTTTTCATCATGATGGCAGTTAGGCAGGTGCACACAGTTAAAACTCAACAAATCATGCTCTGTGAAAAGGCATATCATATGAAAATTGCACTTCAAACAATTGTTTTTTAAAAAGAGAGGAAAGAAGCAAAAACTAAAAACCAACCAACCAAAGCATGACCTTAGGAATGTATAATGTTCATACAGTACCATAGCCCAATTCTAGACAGTTTTCTCTAAAGCTATTCAAAGAGACTCTGTAAAGGTTACTCATAAAAGACTCAGGTAGCAAGTGAGACTCAGAAACAATACAAATGCTTAACATGTATACCAGAATCCATACCTCAAAAGTATATTTTTCTCTATTATTAAAGAGCATTAATATGGTCATCTGGAAAGTGGAGACTTGCAGTATGTGCTTCCGAGTATTAGAGCCAGTTACTTGTGCACCTCCAACACCAACTTCAGATCCATCTTCCTGTTTCATTTAAAAATATATATATATAAATAAAATGCAATTATCTCTTAGTAACTTTAATAGCATGTTTCAGAAATAAATCCTATAACTGCCATCCTACCTCAGAACACACACAGACGAACGCACTTTAGGGCTGAGCCTTTATTTTTCCATTGTGAACATTTTAATATATCTGAGCAAGTAATTAATCAACAATTCCCTATACTTTAAGCTAATGTTTTATATATAAAGATAAATAGATCTATATGCTTATATAGATATTTATATCTATAAATTTTAGATTTTTGCTATAGAACATGTGCACTCACTGGAGAGACACCCAGAGAGACAAAGAGACAGGGAAAGTGAGGAAATCACTCCATGAGAGGGATGGCTACACCACAATATCTTCTCCTCCATTCTCCTCAAGGGATTTTAGGCACACAAGCATACATGCCTGACATGTCTTTTAAGTTAGTCATGTGGGATCCAGTGCCTTAACCACATACCACACCATGCCACCTGCTGGCCCAAAGCTAATAGGATTTTAACAGAACACAATAGGCTGAGAAAAATAATGGACTTATGAAACACCACTGCTGTTACACCATCACCAGCAACAAACAGGGCTATGTTTCTTTTTGTGTTGTGGTCATAGTTAAAACACCAAAAAGCAGCAAAGCACAGGAAGGAAAAATTCATTCTCAAAGCCTGTTGTTGCTCCATGATTTAAGAGTTTAAAAAGTAGGACTTTTAAGTCTTCAACAACTAACATATGCACTGCTTCTTAAAAACCTGATCTACTTAGTAAACCTTCAAAAGATAACAAGATTATTTAGGGAAAAACCTCTCTCCTTTCAAACAAATGCTAGCATTAATGAAAAGCTGAGTTCTTTAGTCTCCCTGACCTTCTCACTTAACTATACAATGGTTGAAATGAATTATAAAGGAATGTTTTCCATTACTATTAAATATAAAATGTGAAATATAGGCATTTTCAATAATACTTAAAAAAGTTGTTGGTGTTACAGTGACTCATCATATACTACTAAGATTTTAACTGCAATTGGAAATAAAAGAGTTACTTCTTGCTTCGATGACAACCAAAGTATTTTCCTTAATGTTTTTCTAGAAGCCTCTTAATATTTTTCAGTTTTAAGGCAAATGACCTTGATTTGATTCATACCAAGTAATAAAAATAAATTCTAACTCTAAACCTCACAATTTAAGATATAAAAAAAGCTACTACTCTTCTTAAAAGCAAATCAATGATACATTACTAATTTTTTTTAATGACTTTAATAATATTTGAACATCTAACAAATCTCAAGTGTTAATTTTCCTGGTTTTGATTTACCGAAAATAAGGATTATGGGAAATTAAGAATTTTGAAAAAGTGCCCAGAGTTGTGTATGGCCTTCAAATCAACTTGTATTTTACTATTTTATGCACTACTGTCTCAATTCTAATAAATAAAATATGTAACTATTCTAATATCATTTATTTCTTAAAGAAGGTTACTGGTATAGTCTTCAAGATTTTAACCTTTTGAATATTTGAGACAGAGAAATAATTAATTACTTAGATCAACATAAATCACAATTAGTTCTACAGACTAATCATAATGTACTTATTATCTTCAAACTATTGATGTTTACCTTTTTAACTGGTCCATAAAAGGTGGCGTTGAGATCTGCAGAACCCATATGATGTTGGAGTGTGAGCTGTCGACCACTGTGTTTGGCCAAGTAGAACCTTCAGCAAATCAAAGCAGGTTTTAAGGAATCAAACACCTTGCATATCTGACATCACAAATTATAGAATAACAACCCTCAAAAAATATAGAGTTAAGGAAGATTATATGTAAGTTTAAACTGAAGGAAACCTTGGGAATTAAGTACAGTTCCAATTTTTTACATTAGAGAACACAGAGGAAAGAG